GCACGCACACATGTGCAGTGGAGCTCAGCTTGGCAACGGCTCACGTGCCCTCAGAGAGGGTTCCATGTGCCACCTGTGGCATCACAGATCTGGTCTTATTAGCTGAGAAAGCTACATTTTGCCAGGGGATCATAAAAATGTTTGCGCAAGTATTGACTGAGTTCCTCTCCTTTGTCATCGAGATACTTTCCTGTGTCTTTTACATTTATTAGGGTTTTTTTTTTTAACAAAACGTTCATAGAATATTCTTTTCTACTGTTAATAACAGTAACAAATGAGCAAAGAAATGCATGCATATCCATGTTGTTTCTCAGCATGGGCAGCAAATAAATTTAACAAATAGATGCAGGAACTCAATTGCGGGATTTTATTTTGTGCCTCATTTGAGCTCTGATTCTCAAAAATCCACAATTTGGGTGAGAATATTCAATAATTGATTTTTGAGCTGTTAGTTCAGTCTTCATCCTTATTGTACACCAGGGCAGTTCTTAATAATTGAGTTTAAAATAAGCTCAATGGTTATAAAACAAGCTTTCGCTCTAGAGGAGTTTTCATTAGATGATAAAGTAAGGCAACTTTTAACGGCTCTGAGTCTTGGTAGCACTTGGTCTGTTTCATGTCTGCACAGGTAGTCCTTGACTTACGACCATAATTGAGCTCAAAATTTCTATTGCTAAGCGAGACGGTAGTTAAGTGAGTTTTGACCCATTTTACTTTCTTGCTGCAGTTGTTAAATTAGTAAAACAGTTGTTAAGCGAAACTGGCTTCCCCTTAGACTTTGCTTGTCAGAAGTTTGCAAAGGGGGATCATATGACCCCGGGACACTGCAATGTGAACCAGTTGCCAAGCATCTGAATTTTGATCACATGATCATGGGGATGCTGCAATGGTCAAAAGCATGAAAGTGAAAAACGGTCATCAATTACTTTTTTCACTTCCATTGTAACTTAGAACATCACTAAATGAATGGAAGTAAGTCAAGGACTAAGGGTGGCTCAGCGGCTAAGGCCCTAAGCTTGTCAATCAAAAGGTCGGCAGTTCAGCGGTTCAAATCCCTAGTGCCGCATAACGGAGTGAGCTCCTGTTACTTGTCCCAGCTTCTGCCAACCTAGCAGTTCGAAAGCATGTAAGAAATGCAAGTAGAGAAATAGGAACCACCTTCGGTGGGAAGGTAACAGCATTCCGTGCACCTTTGGCTTTTAGTCATGCTGGGCACAGGACCACGG